GAAGAAATTCGAGAACACTATCTGGCTTATGCTCGAAGTGTAGGATTTCCAATGCGGACTAGGACAACTCGCAAAGCCAAAGATGGAACTCCTAGAAGTGTTACATTTGTGTGTAGTCGACAAGGAAATAAAAAGAGCAAAACACAAGATGTGTTCCACCCTTTTTGCTTTTTGCTTTTTGTGTAAAGTATGTAACAAGTATGATAACTTTCTCTGAGTTCCCTGCACATAAACTAATGTAAACCTGATGTAACTCTATCTTCACATACATTAAGTCTCTGTGAAGTCTGTGACATAGACAGTTATTCCATGTGAGCACCAAGAAATCTAATGTATGCGTTTTAACTTTGTTTTTAGCTATACAAGACCCCCAGATATGTGATGAGATTCTGAAGATGGTGTATGTGCATAACGTTAAGTAACTCTGTCGTCACATACATTAAAGCTCTGTGTAATTGGTAAAATAGACAGTTTATCTCTGGGAGGGATCTGAAAGTAAATCTGTAATTCAATCATAAACTAAGGTAAATCATTCATCACACACAGTAACAGATTGTGCATTATCAAGTAGAAATTCATGATGATAAAAGCCCCATTACAAAAAAATCAAAAAAATCTGAAGTGCATAACATTATGTAACTCTGTCACATACGTTGAAGCTCTGTGTAACAGGTAAAATAGACGATTATTCTCTGTGAGGGCTCTGAAAGTAAATTTGTAATTCAGTCATAAACTAAGATAAATCATTCATAACACACAGTAACAGATTGTTCATTAACAAGTAGAAATTCATGATGCTAAAAGCCCCATTACAAAGCTTTCAAAAAAATCTAAAGTGTTTCCCCGAAAAATACATTACAAAACACAAAAACCATTACAAAGAGTTTCACAAAAATTAAAGATCCCTAAAATTGTAAATTAAATATTGGTTGTTTTCCTTCTACGCCATAACCTAGCTGCAAATTGACATCGGAAATCAGCCATGTGTTCAGAACTGCAGTCCGGACTTAATGGTAAGCCAACCAACAAATACTCTAGATATGCAAGCACCATCACTCCACAATTGCCATACCTGCAAGGGAAAATAGTATTAAAATAAGTAGGGGGGTATGATTTTCACCCGTCCATGGGAGTAGAATAA